AAATCAAAACCAAACCAAATTTAATAAAATTAAACAAATTTTAAGACTATTTACTTTAGTTTATTTTGATGAATTGGTTTAGTTTTGCACGTGACCATTCATGGCCAGAGAGGATTATTATAATGATTGGGCTCATTATTAGCAATTCTGATGAATAATTGCTTTTTTGCCTTGGGTGTGGAGTATTAGAAAGAAAATACTCTCATAATTATTGAATAAAAGCAAAAAGTAATGGCATATAAAATCAGAAACATACACACATCTGTTCACTGGCCAGTGATGCCTTGATTATACATATTCTTAAAAACAGCAAACTATTAATGGAAATATTCAACTAGGCAACATTCATGAACTCATGTGAAACGGACAAATCTGTCCCTTTCTCCAACCACATCATTCACAGAGTGCTAAAAAGCAACGCGGCAGCAACTTTCATGGGAAGTAAAGACCTGCAAGGGAGGAACCGCAATGACAACTTTTAGTTTTCATTTTCTGGATTTTCAGAAACTGAAAACACTGAAATAATTTCTGTTGTTTGAACACATAAAGTATTAAAAGAGACAAAAGTATTTTAAACTTGTTTTCACACACATCCGTTGCAGAATCTGGTTAAATTTTTTTCTGAAAACAGTTTTCCAGAATAAACTACTAGATACAGCTCTTTCTAGTTTCAGAGTTTGACAGACAGAAGAGAAAACAATTAGGGGGAAGACGAGGAACTTACTTCCACACTGGAAGTTGTGAACAATGTTTCTGCCGCAGGTGGCGAAGAGCTTGGTGACCTCTTGGACGGTGATGATGGTGGCGAGCTTCGCGTCGATCGCAGGGCACGCACACTCTACGTGTCCCGCCCTAATTAACTGACAGCACGCAGCCGATGGCGAGCCCCCGTAAAACACCTCCTTGCAAACTGCGAGGCCCGTGTCCCTCTCCTGCTTGCATTGGTCCGGTGTCACCGCCTCTGCCGGGGCAGCCACCAGCGCCGCCACCGCCACTAACAACAGCAACCACGAAGTAGTGCTCCTAATATTCCTCTTCCCAACTTCCATATTTCTACAATACTTCAAAGTGATGAAAGACTGAAATGTATTTAGTGGCTGAATGTGTGAAGCTTGCTGGGGGATTAGTGTGTATTTATACACAATTCGAAGTGATACAAATTTTGTAAGACGCGATTTGTGAAGTCAGTCATGTAAGGTAGCGAGGCGCTGTCCCTGTTTTTTGAAATGGGAGGGGAAAGGGTGGGAAATGGGCGTCCCCGCGGATTTAAATTTCTTTATTTCAAATGGAGCAAAGCAGTTAAATAATATTAATAATACTAACTAGTTTCAATTTATTTTACAATCATGACGTTCAAGCTTCAAACTCCCTCTCCCAGCTTTGGATTCAGCTTGAACTTCAGCTTCTATCAGCTTCATTTAAGACGAGCACAAGCCATAAACACTAATGTAAAAATCTCAAAAATTATTCTAGATCTTAAGAAGTGGGAAATTATTTTTCAGAAGTGATCCCAAACACCACCTTAATTAAAGACCCTGAACGACTCAAATTGATTAAGGAATGACACGGGATTGTTTGGATCATTATTAATCTATTAATTCAATTTTCAACATGCAATTCTTAGGAAGGTTCTTTAAGTCTTCTGTCAAAAATTTTCTTGCTATATACATGCATGCAAGTAAGGCCGTATTATTATCTTAAGCACTAATCTAAGTAATTTTCGTGAATTACTTGTGTGAGAAAATTGCAAACCAGAGCTTAACGACGCATCCATAATTACCCGCTTGGGGTGGCCGAATATTTACAAGAAAATGTAGTCTCGAATTATATATTTCTTCCAATGACCAGAAATTGGACAATTAAAGAGAAGTAAATTTGTTGTTAAGCTTTCTGGGCATCTCATTGCAGTGGGAAGAAGAAGACGCCCCACTTCCAAAAGACGGAGACCTTTCAACAATTAGGACAGCCGGTGGCCTTAATCTCTTTTGGAATTTATTTTGGTATACGGGTAATTCTGCTTAAATTGATTTTCAACTGCTTATATTCAAATCTAATTTAGTTTCAATCCCATTTAATATTTTTTATGAGTTGAATTGAATTGTAACAATTGTTTAATTTGGGTATGATTTAATTCGTTCAAGTTACATTTATAATTTTAATGGGTGAGTTGTCTTTGTCCCATTTTTAAAATTTTATTCACTAGAGGACAAGCGGCCTAGGGGAGGTGAAAGACTTCTGGGCTTTCACAGTAGGTGGGGAGGAGCAGTCGGAATGGTGTATGTCTTTTTCCATCTTTTTAAAATGAAAAAGGGGCATTTCAATTTCTATTCAAATGGACCACAGTAGTACGAATTGAATGATATTAATTCTGTGGGAATATTTAGCACAGTAAAAATCCAGAATCCTAGGGTTAAAGAATATTTCGCTTTTTTAATAATTTTTTTAATTGTGAGCTTTTAATTATTGAAACTTCAGTTTTTTCAAAGCTTCAAAATGGCCAATCCTAATCCGTTCACAGCATGCTGAGGATGGTGGCAGGCCGAACATGACGGGCTTGCACGCCTTGAGACCCAACGTCCTCTCATCCTGGCACTTGCTCGGCGTCAGATCATAGCTGATAGCCATTCCTGGTTCAAGCAGGGGCCCCACCAGAAGTAGCTTCAGGACCCATGCAGTACTCTCACAATTCTTCATTTCTCCTCCTATTTTTCCACCTCTATATATGCTAATCGTAAGATCAGCAAGGTCAGGCCCATTAAATACAAGTCGCTGAAAGAAAGAAGTAAAAGCGAAAAGAAAGAAGTCGTAAAAGCCTTTGGATAGTGCTCCGAGCCGAAGAGGGGCACCACACAAGTCAATTCTGGCCAGAATTTCCACTAATATTTAAAATGATAATTTATTTCTACTTTGCAGTACAGAATTTTTAGTAAACACCAACATTTACATAATTAATAATTGGAAAGATCACGGTTAGGCTATTAACTGTGTACGAGAAACAAATTTTCATTGGTATTAAATTTTTAAAATTTTTTATTAATATTGACTGTATTTTCTCATTAACCAAATAAATGTCCTGTTATAGTTTTAGTGGTTGATCAATGTCCCACATCGACTGTGAGTTGTGTGTGCACTATGAGTAGTGTGTGTACTAGGGATAAGTTTTTCGAAAATATTTATTAGTTTTAACTATCTCCTCTCAATGAACGGGAAAAAAAAAAAAAAGTTTGGCCATTAGAAGATAGGTCATTTAAAAAAAAAATAGTCTTAAAATCCTGTAAATGGTGACTGGAATGGAAGATGGACACCACACAAAACCATGGGTTGATTGGTGAATCTTCATCAGAACTTCCCATTATATTTGAAATGACGATTTATTAATTCTTTAGCCAACTTGTTTAAGCTTGGGGTGCTGACTCCCAGCAACAATCTCTCCTGTATATATACATTTTTTATTAATTTATTGGAAAACCCAAAAAAAAAAAATGAAACCCTCAGGTGGAATTTAAATTGATATTTATATTCAACATAAATTCAAACCTCCATGATAATGGAGAGTGAATCATAATGCTTTAATAAAAATCATAATTTGAGCTATTTAATAAGTAATCAACAACAATTTGTAGAGTTGTAAGTTAAAGATATTCTCTTTTTAAATCTTTTGTAGTCTGCTATCCTAACTAAAAGAGTTTGAAAGACCCAAATTTCTAGGCAAAATAATAAATGTCATACTCTAAACGCCTAGAAAATTAGCATTTACACAGCAACAGGTTAACAGCAAAGGATCCATGAAAAGCACTAGTTTCACTACAACAGCTGGGAAATGCTTCAAATTCAGCTTACGACTTATTTTGTATTGTATTTACTGTAAATTTTCTAATGCATTTTAGTACACATTATTTGCATAATTAACACATTGAAAGATTGAGAAAAAGATAAATCTCTAGAACGTTAGAAGGGTCATACTCAAATAGGGGCAACAAAGTCCCCACCACTTCCAACTTCAGAGTCGTAGTCAACCTGTGTGTCATGTGAGCCACCGGCTGTTACTATGCCTTCAGTAGTGGTCCCTTCTCCGGGCGTCTTTGTCTCCTGTATGAGCCACGTTATTTCTTCAATACTCAGAGGAGGTTGGCCATTGTCGGCTACCTCATAGTTTGTTTTCTCCCCCTCAATTACCTTCCTTCATTTCTCCTCCTACTTTTCCACCTCTATGATATTCGTAAAACTAGCAAGGTTAGACCCATTAAAGAAAGAAAGAAATAAAGAAAGAAGTCATAGAAGCCTTTTGACGGTAGCTCAAGTGGAAGATAGGCACCACACAAAACCATGGGCTAGTTAGTAAATCTTCGCCAGAATCTCCACTGGTCTTTAAGGCGGCAATTTAGTAATTTTATAGCCAACTTTTCTAATCTTAGTGTTGCTGACTCTCAGTAACAATCTCTCTTGTATATATACATTTTTTTATTAATTTATTGGCCAAAAAAAACTCTCAACTGAAATTAAATAGATATTTATATTAAATCCCAAATTCTAACTTTTGTGATAATGGAAAGTGAATCATAATGCTCTGATAAAAATTATAAATTGGGCTGTCTAAGGAGAAATTATAGAATTTTAAATAGAAGTAGCCTCTTTTCAAGTTTTTATACTTAAAAAATTTTGATTATTTCTGTTATTTTAATTAAAAGAGTCTAAAAAATCAAAGTTTCTAAAAAAAAAAAAAAATGAATATGCAACTCTAGATTGCTAGAAAACTAGCATTTGATAGACTCACGTTCACCACACAACAATAGGCTAACAGAAAAGGGTCTATGAAAAGCACAAGTTTCACTACAACAGCTGGAAAATGCTTTAAATTCAACTTATTTGTATTACATTTATTACATATTTTCTACTGTACAGTGCAGAATTATTAGTACACATTAACTTTTATATAATTAACAAACTGAAACGTCCAAAAAAAGAAAAAGCTAAATCTCTGGAACATTAGAAGGGTATGCTCAAACAGGGGCAACAAAGTCTCCACTGCTTCCACCTTCAGATTCCAAGTCATCTTCTGTGTCCAATGATCCACCAGCTGTTATTTTGCCTTCAGTGGTGGTTCCTTCACCAGGTGTCTTTGCCTCTTGTATGAGCCGCATTATCTCTTCCACACTCTGAAGAGGTTGGCCACGGTCAGCTTCCTTGTAGTTTGTTTTCTCCCCCTCGATTAGGTGCTTTGGCAAATTTTTCAGAAACCATGGGTGTCGTTTTATCTCAGGGATGGTGATTCTCTTCAACAAGGATTATCCAGGTTAGCACGCGGCAATAATTTTTTTCTAAGAAAAAGAGAGATGGAAAAATAATAGCACAATGTCATAGAGAAAAGAAGCATATGTATTATTCCAAGACAAACATCCTACCTTTGTGGGATTTGCAACAAAAATACGGGAGAGGAGATGCCTGCAGTCTTTAGACAAGCGTATATAATCAGGTATGGTATACTGGGCACTCATAATTCTCTGTTAAGATTGGAAGACAGATTTGCAGACAGAGAATGTCAGATCAATGAACTGGAAGCTATGATTGATTACCCCATAAAATCATTTTAGTGCAAACTCACCCCAATCGTCTTGCGGAAATTTCTAGGGTCATCAGTATCTTCAAAAGGGTATGCTCCAACTAACATGACATATAGCGTCACACCACAGGACCAAACATCTGCAATCTAAAACTGAAGAACCGTCAGAGTGCCAATAAAAACTTGGGAAAGCGAATGGATAGTGTTAATAATAGTAAATTGATATTTCCAAAATTAGTACATGCTGTTATTTTTTCTGAAAAATTTTTCATCACTTTGCCACGATGCTATGAGGTTTACAAGGTGAACATTGAAAACCCAACCCAAAAAATGCATGGCAACCTCGTAGATGTTGGAAGGAAATTACTTATTCCTTACTTCAAAAGGATATTTTATTGCTTTCAATTTATTTACAGGCATCATTGCGTTGGCATGTCAGAAGATTTGCTGGCCTTTGGTTCATGATTAGAAAGCTTCAACGTGCTGCTATGATTAGAAACTGTGAAAGTGTGCTTTCTGATCATTATGGAGTTAAAATTGGAGTTCCAGATTCCAATGGCTATGGAACTTGTTTTTGAATCTATACACTATTCTTTCAATTGTACACGACTGCTTGTCCATCTGCTTGTAAACATACTTATATATTTCAGAGTTCTTATTTCATGAGATAGTAGGAATTCAAAATACCAAACAAGTCTCCAGCCATATATATTAGAATATATAATCTAAATACCTTCCCATCATATTCCTTTCGTGAGAGGATCTCCGGTGCAATATATGCTGGTGTTCCTACTGTTGACTTGGGCTGTGAATGCAACAAACCTGACTGCAGCGCCCATGAATAATGATACTTAAGAAAATAAAGTGAAAAAACAGAAACGTGACTAAATACAGACTAAGCAGAAAAATTTTCTCCCGGCTGGAAAACTATTAACCTTGGAATAACCAAAGTCACATATTTTAAGCTGTGGAGTTGGACTTCCATCCAGCAGTGTGTTCTCCAGTTTTAGGTCCCTGTGACAAATTTCCTGAAGAGCAAATAAATAAATAAGAAAACAAGGTAAAACAAGGATGATAGCAAACAAAGTATGAAACAGATACTCCAATGATGTACCATTGAATGACAGTAGCTAACTCCAGATATTAGCTGCTGAAAGAAGAACCGTGCCTGTTGTGTAAATGAATAGAGGTGTTAGAAAACAACTTTTTTTTAAATGAATGAGAACGAAATGATCTAATAAACCAGCCAAACAACAAAAAGCTATCCATGTCTTCATACCTCATCCTCACTAAATCGACCAGCATTGCAAATCCTGGCAAAGAGCTCACCACCAGCCGCATATTCCATGACTATAGCTAAATGTGTTGGTGTCAATAGTACCTGCAGACAAAAACAGCTCTGCTAAAGCATTTTTGATTTTATACTAATTTGACTTAAATTGAGGAATGGCTGTAAATTTTTAAAACGTTCTATCCATCCCGAGCTATAAAATTATGAGTTCATCTTTTGCATATTAGTCCTATTTGAATCCAAAAGTTTTGTTTGCTGAAATTCTATAAACTTACTGGCGAGAAAGCAAGAACTCAAGAGGTATACACCTTACAGAGGATTTTTTGAAAAGTTTTATTTATGCTATTATTCAGTCCAAACATTCAAACAGCTTTCTTATGCACATAATTTTCAGGCGCATACATCCCCTGCATGCCACGAGGGTATTGCTTGGAGAAATAAGTTCCCAGGTAAAAAAGCTGAACCCACCTCACAAGCTTTTGGCTGTCACAAAGACTCATTTAACAATCTTCCATGTCCTATCCATGATTTGTCAACTATTGAAGCATAGGCCATTTCAGAACAAATGAAAAATTTGAGAATGGAGATGTATTCTTAACCCAACGTGAATTAACAAATTCACACATTCTGGTGGGTCATATAAAACTTCCTAAAAAATTGTACTCTGCTAGAGATCTAACACCAAAATTGCTGGCTAAAATACAAGAAGAAGATTGGCAGGCTATTATATTGGGGACGCTTCTGAACAGAATTTCAGTTCATAAAAATCCAAAAATTTACTACCCAAAAGACCAAAAACGTATAATCTTCATTGCGACTACAGATGAAATGCCTGCATCTGCAAGTCCTCACTTCAGAATCTTCCTCCACATAATTCAACTAGATACTTACCTCCTTAAACCTGACAATATTGGGATGCCTCAATGATCTGTGATTTATGATTTCCCTCTGAACATTTTCATCAATCTGAAACAAAATGACAACCAAAAAAATTGTAGTTATTGTAAAAAACATAAAACCACGCATCTAGAACCGTATGCAGTAATTGAATAAATAAAAAATGTACGAATAGGTAACAAAATTTGAAATTTGAAATGCAGCTTCAACCACATCCATCGCCCGGAATAATTCATCCACGTACATATTCTGAGCTTCAAGGCCTAAACTTTACAAAGAACAAAAAGAAGAAAAGAGAAACCACCGTCTAAATTTTCCCTATAGTTGTTACTGCAGCTCTTGAAACACCACATTTTCTCCCTTCGGTAGGACAACCCCAGCCCAATTTCGCCTTTTAATAGTTTCCCTTAGGGATTGACAATGCTTTTCAGTAAAGAAGATGCAAAAAACAAGAAGACATTGACCTACATATAACCTTATGGCAGTAATACTTGGTGCAAACACCTCTTAAGAACCGAAAAGGGAATAATCAAACGGAAGCTTTCTGCTGTGAATTAATTGACTAGAAACTAATTACCTTCTTTCCTCTTTCAATATATTTGACCGCAAACAGCTCCTTGGTCTTCTTATCCCTCACCAATCTCGCCACCCCAAAGTTGCCGGATCCAATTTCTTTCAGTGGTTCATATTTTGCCTCCATGCCCACGCAACCCAAATCAAAATCCAAATAAAACTTCAATACCCACCAAAGAAAACCAAAACCCAGCTGAAGGAACAGGGATTACAGCTAGAAAGAAGGAGAAGCTGGTTTAAAACTTTCAAAAAAACTGCAGGAACTTCTTGTTCTGCTCTAAAACTAATTCAAGCTTTAGTCCAAATCAAAGGCTCCAAAAAATCTGAGTACGAAGTGATTTTCTGATGGATATACAACAGAGATTGACAGTGCTTCAAGGACACGTACGCAAGAAAGGGTGAATTCGAAGGGTTGGCTTCTGTAGAATCTGATGCTGACAATACAACACCTTTCCGTTTTTGTATGTTATTTGGCGATGGTGCGTAGGTTTAAAAACGGATTCAAAATGTGGCGCATGATAGGTCGCTGTTTCCTTTCCTGGATGTTAACATGCGCCTGTGACCAGTTGTAGCCACCACGGCCATTGAATTTGGTTCAGTCCGTTAAACAGAGATTGTTCGCGGTCACCAATAAAGTAATGGCTGAAGATCTACCCACCGGCCAATCAGGACCAGGATGGTCGAAGAAAAGATGTTGGTATTGTTGTTTCTAATTTTTAATTCAAAATTTTTTTAATTATATTCTTGAAAAAAATTATTTCTTTATACTCTGAAAATTCATAAAATTGGAAATGGCATTGGATAAAGTAAAATTAATCGGATTAAGCATGCCCCAAACTTAACCCATCATAAGCCAGATGAATTTGGAATTCCGAGTCACGTCATGGCAAGATGAGAATAGGAACAAGCATTTTTTTTCCCTTTTTTACTAAACTTTATATATAATGTAATACATATATATATAGTACTAAAAATAATTTTAATTATTGTTAAGATGACATAGTGTATATTTATATTTTATTTGCAATTGGGTATTTGAAATCTATTTCGTTTTGGAAAGAGACAAACTGGGCGGCAATCATCATAATATTTTTTAATATCTGTAAAATTACAGATTTGACTATATTGGTTGTTATAAAATTTTAAGAAGTACTGATATTTCTTTTCTTTTGATAAAATAGGCAAATAGTCCAAAAATGTGATTTATTTAATATCAAATCATAATCTAATAAGTTAAGAACCTGATATTTATTGAAACAATATCAATATCAATATTTAATATTAATTTAATAATTATTAAAAGAATGGAAGTGGAAATGAAAATTTTATAAAAGTATATTTATTAAGCACTTTAAAATAAAATTTTTTACCAGATAAAAATTGAGTATTTGATGAAATTCAAATTCCATTCTATAAGCCAAGTATATAATTACTCTATTATCTTCTATCTTTTTTAATAAATAACAATATTACCCCAGGTATACTAAAAATAAAAAATATTTTTAAAAAATTCATCATTAATTATAAGGTTATGATATAAATTTTTTATTTTTTATTATATTTATAATATACTAAAATTTAAAAGTTATTTAATTATTATATGTTTCCAACATTTTTAACTGTTTCAAATAATTAGTACGTATTCTTTTCATTTATTTTTTAATTTAAATGATGAACTATTCATTTTGAAATTTAATATTTTAATGTTAAAATATAATTTTTATTTTTATTATAAATATAGTAGGAAATAAAATTTATTTAATTATTTTTTATAAAGAATATTTTGTTTTGAGCATTTTTTATTTCATTTTCTACTTCTATTTAAAATATCAAATATAATAATAAAATATAAATTTTTAATTTATCAATTATACCAAATACATTCATAAATTTTTTAATTTTATTTCATTTTATTCTCATTCTTATTTTATAAAAAAATATTTCATCCTACTGTACATCTTATAATTATTTAACTGTTAAGGCCCCGTTCGGTTGAGGGGATAAGGCTTATAAGGATAAAGTTATCAGCCTTATCCTCCCTACGACCGACACCTACGACGCAGAAGTAGCGCCCGCCCGATCTGAAAGCTCTCACCATCGCCCTTCCTGGCCCCTCCTCTTTCCTCTATGGATCTCCACATGCACTAAATCTTTGGCAGCCTGTATGAGCAGACGCTTACGTGTAGCCTAATTTGCCCGATTTGCACCCGATCCGCACACATGTGCTGCTCAACCTTGCAATCGTCGGAGAGAAGAGGGAAGGTGAGTGATTTAGGCACCAAAAAGAGGAGGGAACGCACAGGGGCAAATTAGTAATTTAAACTTTTATCTGATTTATTATCTAAATTAGTTACAAGGCAATTAAATACATGATAAAAACAGAGACAGGGTAACCTGCCTTATCCTATCACGCGTTATTTTCTCCTAAAAACCGAATGGAGCCCTAAGTCAATCCTTGTCAAAAAAAAAAAAATATATATATATATATATATATATATACACACACGCACAGACTAAAATGCACCCGGCCAGTCACGTGGATAATCCAAGAAAAAGGCGGCAGAGAATGGTCAAGACTTTGGGGCCCACGTAGTGGTTGGTAGGCATCTTTTGATTGGTCGAGTACAATGCCTTGTTTTGCACCGTTGGCTAACTATCACCAACATTATTGTAATAATCTAGTGGGGGACACAGTCCATGGAGTCGCCGCTCCCTGCACCGCCCATAAAGATCTTCGAGGACGAGGATCTTGATGGGAAGTGTGTCATGGCGTCATTAATTCCGTTATTTACAGATTTTCTTAGCAAACTGTGAAATCACCAAAACAAGTTAACCTCCGGAAAAGAAAGGTTGCGGAAGCAAGAAAACAAAGATTCTGTTAAGGAATTATAAACGCTCGACGCAATTACTACTCGGACCAAATCACGTGCAAATTCGGGAATCCTTTAGAAAAAAAAAAAGGGGAGACAATTAATTCGGGCTATGGGCCTAATTGAGTTTGTCTTTGTTTGGTTATGGCTTCTTCCGCCTCGAATAGACAAAACGTGTTCTTTGTGCTGCACGTGCAACACCGGAAAGAGGAGAACAACTCCCAATCCACCAAACGGAAGATTACGAAGTAAGAAAAGAGAGAGAAGTCTCCGATATCAATACAATAACTAAAAAGTGAGAAAAGGGATCAATGAAGATTTATATCAAATTTTGTAATTAAATTTAATTAAAAAAATTAATTACAATTATAATTAATATTTTATAAAATATATATAATTAATATTTTATAAAATATTTATAATTAAAATTTTTAAAAATAATTATAATTAATAGATTAAAAATAATTTTATTTAATCTCACTCATTAAATTTTAAATTTTGATTAAATCAAGAAGAGTCACATCAATTTCTCCTAAATCCCTTCTCCGTCGGATCACAAGGTCACTAATTTCTCCGAATTTAACGCAATCACCGTCCGGAATACATTAGGAGTAAGGCAGAAGAAACGAAATTCGCCCGTTAATGGCTGCACGACAACGAACAGCTTCTCCCATCACTCCTTCACGCCACACTCCATCGCCCAAACCCAAATACCCTTTTCACCTTGATTATGAATAAAATAGAGCCATTCCTGCGATACGCTGAAATCGGCAATCATAGTCTCGCCATCAACTTAGGGTGAGCCACCTGCTCAAACCACCCATCTACAGCGTCAAAAGTACACATTACGCAATCATAGGAACGGTTTTGGAAATCAGGAAGTTCCGGGCCGCGTCGGGACTCACGACCCAGTACGGCGATTTATTGAAAACGGTCCCTTCTCCGTCGGCTAAGATTTTTAATCCAAATCCTGAACCCTCTTCCACGAATTGGACTTTTAAATAAACAAATGTATAGCGATCGGGTCGAAAATTCGGTCTTTGATAAGCTTGATTGCCCTGACGTTCTTCAAATCGTTGCGAACGAAGTCGTAACAGAGGCCGAAGATGAGAACCCCGTCTGAATAGCCGCGGAACGAGAAGCTGTACTGGGTTCTGGTCCGGGTTCTAGAGAATGAAGGTGTCAATGTAGCCGACGAGTAGCGTGCCGTCGTAGGAAACCAAAATCCCAACTCGGTGATTCACAGGGCTTCACAACGACGCCATGTGGGGCTTGGAAATCGAGGGAGTGAAAGGAGCGAGAGATGTGAAGGGCGATAATGACCTCCTGGAACGCCAGGGAAGTGAAAGCGACGTGCACGATGCCACTCTGTAATTTTCCATTTCCGATAATTTTACCATTCTACCCCTCATGTTGATTGTCATGGAGGGTGACTAGGTTCAAATTCTAACGCGCCCCTAGCTTTAGGTTCCTGTAAAAGGAATAAGAGCGTTATTTAAATTTCGATCTCCTACGCTACACCGCCCCCCCCCTCCCCTCTCTCAAAAAAAAAAAATAATAATAAAAAATCTCAATCTCCTAATGAAATGGATTTAGAAAAATGTATTTGAAGAAAGTGCATTTAGAAAAAATTTGTTTGAAAAAATAAATTATATATACAAGATCAAAATATATCCAAATTATTTTTGATAACCCTCAAAATGTTATAAAAAAATAATTTTTTTATACTCGAAAAAAATGAGAGTTTAGATGTAGGCGCAGAGAGTTTAGACAATTCCCCCAAACTAGTTTGACAATTTGAAATACACATTAATTGGATATAAAACTAGTTAGGTGGTTTTGCTTCTGCATGCCGGGACCGCTATTTACCTTTGTTAGGCAGCTCCTAAGCTTCCAGGTTAAGGCATAGCCTTGTATCTAAATAAAATTAAAATTAAAACTTCTGAAAATATATTACTAATATAATAAAAATAATTTGAATATTTGAAAATTTATAATTTACTTTTATCCCTTTATATAATTCAATAAGAAATTTTAGTTTAGTTTTTAAATATATTTTTTAAACTCATTTTTTTTATTAAATATGCTGCAAAATATAAATAAACACTCTTTAGTCCTAAGCAGTGGAGCTGATGAGATGTTGCAATGTCAAAAAGGTGTTCTTGATAAATCTTCAATATGTAAGCAAAAATAAATAAAAAATATTCAAGAATATTTTTAAATGAACAAGTTAATAATATAGTTGAATTATAATAATAAGAAGAAGCTAACGAAAAATTTGAATACCGAT